ACAATGGACTATTACTCAGCCATCACAAAAATGAAATCTTGCCATTTGCAAGGACGTGGATGGAACTAGAGGGTATTATGGTAAGTGAAATAAGTCAGTCAGAGAAAGACAATTATCCTATGATTTCACTCATATGTGGAATTTGAGAAACAAAACAGAGGAGCATAGAGGAAGGGAGGGAAAAATAAAACAAATCAAAATCAGAGAGGAAGAGAAACCCTAAGAGACTCTTAACTACAGAAAACAAACTGAGGATTGCAGGAGGGGAGTGTTTGTGGGGATGGGGTACCTGGGTGATGGACATTAAGGAGGGCGTGTGATGTAATAAGCACTGGCTGTTATATACAACTGATGAATAACTGAACTCTATCTCTGAAACTAATAATACACTGTGTTAATTGAATTTAAATAAAATATAATTAATTTTTAATGCAAAAAAAAGGTTGTTATCTTGCTAATTTAACCAGGTCTTTCTTGGTTATATTCTAGTAGCTTTTGTTGAAAAATCCTTCAGTGTATACATAGTCAAAAAAATACCAGCACTGTAGTGCTCAGGCTAGCCATTCGAGTGAAGATATCCACGAGGTAAATTGCAAATATACTTCTAGGACTTTGGTGAGAAGCTGGAACTAGAGAGATATTTGAGGGTCATCTGCAGAAAGTACAGGTACCCCTCGCTTTTCAAAAGTTCACACTATGCCCCTTTGCTTTTATGAAGGATCTAGGGTTAGTTCTTATTTTTGCTAATTCAAAGAAATCGAAAGAGGATTTTCAGAAGTGAAAACAGCATCCAGCATTTGTTTTGCAACAAGTGGTGACAGGGGCTGTGTGCACTCTGAGCAGCTGGAGAGGCACCGCCAACCTTCTTCCCCAAGAACTTCATTCAGCATCAAGCTATGGTGGCTTGATGCTGTGCTTTATCTCCATTTATTTATTTTGTGTGTCAATTACCAAGATAAGTCCTAAGGTATCAGAAAAACCATTAGCAAGATGTGTCTTAAGGTATCAGAAATGCCCACTAGAGATTATTTTGAGAGTCTGGGAATGTTCAAAATATTTTCCATATAAATTAATGGTAACTGTTTCCTTGCTTTATACCAGTTCAACTTAAGAAAGGTTTCCTAGGAACACTTTACTTTCGAATAGCAGGGGAAACCTGTCGAAGAAACCAGAGGAACTGATAAGATTGTACTCTTTTCCCACTGCCACCTTTTACTAGCTAATAATCAACACAACCATAGAAAATGCTCAAGTATGAAATGACTTTAATTTTAAAAAGTAAGCTTTTCCATCAGTTCTAAGTAATAAACACTGAATTTAAATACATTTTTGGTGTATTTATATCTCCAAAATCAGATATCTTACCTGGTTTAATTTTTCAGTGTGATTCAGCCTTGAAGTCTCTACTGCATTTGACTTAAAAGTCTTTTCCACGTTCAATATTTGCTTCGGTAGTTCCATGTTTGAAGTGGGTTGTGAAAAGCAAGCCTTTGCAACTGGGGAGCCTGTGGAGTATGACCCCTGTTTCATTCGAAAAGGCTGAGTAAACATTTTCCCTCCTTTTGTGAATAAAAGAACAGAGAAAAGTTGTCACTAACGATTTCTACTTTATTTTCCAGTGGTTATCTATAGAGGCTACTGTGACCTAACTGCCCTCAACTTTGAAATAACAATTAAGTAAGCTTATGTTTTCATACTGCCAAATAAAATTTACATACAATGGAAGAGATTCTCGTCATCTATAAATGAAAACTAAGAGATCATTAAGTGTGTTACTGAAAAGGTTGGGGCTACCTAAAAACTCTACTTAAGGCCACCTCAATATAATTACAGAGAGGCAGGTTTCAATAGGTAAAAACAAAAAAGCTGTATCCTGTTTAGGAGGTCAAAAAGCCTCCAAGTAAGGAGTCTGCTTAAAACTATGCTTCTCAAACCAGACAATCACCTAGTAGTATGGGAGCAAGAAAGGGGGATAAAAAAAGCTATAGAATAAAGGATATTCTAGAGTACAGATTTTTTTCTTCCAAGATTTGTAGGGAGGAAAATACCACTGGAGAGATATATGTTGATGTACAACACGAACGATTTATCACTAGACTTCATTATAGCCTAGCTCTTTACTATAAGATCAAGTGTGCACATGCGCGCACACGCGCGCGCACACACACACAAATTGTTTCCAATATATCCTGATGACAGGATGAAGGGTCCACAGATGGGAAACATGAACAATCCAATCACTGGGAAGGAATATCGCTCCCCCCATTCAGTAAGTTGGCAAACTGCTTTATACAAGTCAACCTCTTGTAAGTTTAACAGCTTGATGAGTTTGTCTCCCTAAGTTTGAGCAACTCAAGAATACTGATACTGTTGATGGTTCAGGGTTAAACTCAAAACACTCACTGGCCCCTGCAGTCTTCCCTGACCAGAGCATGTAAACACCCTAGGATATCGTCATCAAATTATACTTCCTATCATAGTTTAAGTATTGGTTTCTACACTTGGGACTTTCTCATGGTTTCACCTACATTACTCTAAATACAGATTTTAGAGAAAAAGAAAAATCACTGAAATAGGTATAGAAATTCTCCAAATACGCTCAGTGTGTAGATTCTGTACTGTCAAGGATCTAGTGAGGCACCACACAAATGATCACATTGGTCTTCTGAGACTTTGAGACACTGATTCAGGGATGAAAGGCACAGCATAGGGACCACAGTCAATGGTATTGTAATAATGTGGCAGCTGCACTGTGGTGAGCACAGCATACGTACAAAGTTGTCAAATCACTATGTTGTACACCTGAAAACAATGGGTCATTGTGTGTATTTCAATAAATATATATATTAAAAAAACAAAAACAAGAAGGACAATGATTGGGTAAGAAAAGCACTGAACAGTATTAAGAGCTGAGTATCAAACCCTGGCTGTAACACTTTTCTAGTCATGCAACTTTGGAAAAGTCATTTAACTTTCCTGAGCTTTCTTTTCCTTATCTCTAAGATTGGGTTATTCACCCTTCTATGGTGTGGCAATGGGAATCCAAGGTAAAACGCTAAATAAGGTGGTTATCGTTACACTACATAAATTACTGCACTGCTTGCTAGGGTATCAAAGATCTGTGCCAGCAAAAATTAGATGGCAAATGCGACCAGTATTTTTTTTTTAAACTCATTTCCCACGTTATAGCTTTACATGAACACACAGGACTCATGTTCATTTACAGTGTTCCAGAGAAAGCAGATCTTGTGTTTTTATAGTAATAGCTACCACTTATCATAAGCTTACTAAATGTGAGGCACTTTTCTGAGTTCATCTCATTTAATCCTCAGCACAACTCCAAGAGGCAAGTATTATTATTCCTATCCTAGAGGAGGAAACTAAGGCTTAGACGTTTTAAGTAACTTGCTCAAGATCACTCAGCCAGCAAGTGGGAGTGCCAGGATGCAACTTTTGACAAACTCTGGGAGCTGAGACATTACCTACCTCCATAGCTGCCAGGACTGCTCCAAATTCTGCTAACCCACAATACAGGGACTAATGCTCACATGCTTACCTGCTGGCCATCTTCTCTGCTTTTCCTCTGATACGTTCTTCTTTAGCATCAACAAAGAACCTGCTCTGGTCTGCTCTACAGAAATGACATCCGAAGCAGCATTAAGCACTTCAAACATAGAGAGGAATCCATACTGCACATACTGGAATGAACGTCCAAATCGTCTGACAAATGCCTTTTCAAAATCAGAAAGGAGAACAGGAGATAACGCCAAGAGGTCTTTCAACTCACTCTTCACAACAGCTGGAAGAATGGGGGGCACCCTTCCTCGGTAAGGTACTCGCCGACGGGAGCTCGGCCCAGAGCAAACACTGGCCCTTCCTTTCTGCACGGAGTTTCGAACCTTATGGCTGCTCCTCTGTTTTGCAACCAAACTTGCTATTCCTTTGGTGGATTCATCTGGAATGGCTAAGGAGGTGTGAAAAAAGAAATCATATTTAGGTGAAAACTTAACTCTTTTCTTTATCCTTTGCATCTGTGGTTATAGAGACAATTCTTAACTCTCCAAGGAGCTGTGTATCTAGGTAGCATTATAAACGTGAACCCTTGGTTCCTCCATTTCTTGTACTTTACAGACGACCACTTGTTAGCTTCTCTACCAGAGGATGAAGACAGAAAGATAAATCCCAGTATTTAGCATTACTGCTGACTGCTGAAATACCTGAAACTCTCAAGATGAACAAACTTCCCTGCAATGTTTGTTTCATGAAATTTAAAACATGAGTTCATAATTTAAAATTCCCATTTTTGAGATACCACCTCACACCTGTCAGAATGGCTAAAATTAACAAGACAGGAAATGACAGATGTTGGAGAAAGGGGAGCCCTCCTACACTGTTGGTGGGAATGCAAGCTGGTGCAACCACTCTGGAAAACAGTATGGAGGTTCCTCAAAAAGTTGAAAATAGAGCTACCA